CGGAAGCCTGGGTTTTAGGGTTTAGGCATTGCAGGTTTGAGGTTTAGGCTGTTAGGTTCTGGAGAGGGGGCACCTTTCATTCTGTCGGGTTTAGGGCTTTCGGGCTTTAGGTTTTCTTTGGGCATGTTCCTGGCTCTTAAACTCTTACATAAATAGTTTTTGGGTTCCAGAGATGTAGGATCGAGGGCTGATCTACTTCAGTTCGGCGTTGGGGCTCTGGCTTTCGATCGGAGAGGCGTAGGGGAGAGGATGCATGGCCTTGCATGGGTGTGGGCCACAAGGCTGTGTTCTTCAGGCTGACGAAGATGGCAAGAGACACCTTCCCTTCAAGAGGGCAGTCTTGATGAGTCTTAGGGAGCAAAAGTAATTAAGTATGTAAGTAAGTATGTCAGGAACGGAGGAAGGAAATACCTAAGCAAGCGAACAAGCAAGCAAGCGAGTGCGAGAACGAGCTAGCATGTACGGCGTATGTCGGAGTGTTTAAAGCTGCCTGACGGGTTCAATGGAGTCTTGGATGAAGCCGTTGCAGCCCCTTGCAACCTAGTATGGTTCGGTCATCTCGCTCCAGGGCACATTGCGCCGTTTCACTGTTATATGTAAGGCACATGTTGGTGCATACATGGGCCATTGTCATTAGACACGTTCAGTTGTTGGAGGTTGTGTTTCGATTTAGCAGGTTCGCAGCCTGCTTCAGCTCTTCTTCAAAAGCCAAGATGCCCCGGACGAGGCCAACATTTCTCCACACAAGTCATGAAGATTCGGGTTCGGATTTCATAGATACTATGTGACCTTATGTCTTCCAGAAGCGAGTCTCAAGGGCAACAGCCCCAAGCATGTGTAGCTTAGCTGCAGTCGTCAACAGAAGCCGGTATTAATATCATAGTTAGTATAATAACAACAATTATAGTAGTATTAGTAATAATAGTAATAATAATGAATTAACTAATTAGTTTGCATGTAGGGTTCTGCTTTTGGCAGACATCAACCAGGTTGGAAGACTCGCCAAGCCCTCATTGAGCACGAGCTGCATGGGTAGTTCTCTGGCCTTTCTTCTGACAAGCAGCCTAAAGGGGTACTTTAGAGAACTACCCACATGCCCGTGCATCGCTGCAAGCCCGGTAGGACTGCTAGGCTGCCACCTACAAATCACGACCTTTTTGGCCTCCCCTGGCAGGGTTCTGTTTGGAGGCTCGGAATTGAACAAGCAAACGTGCAAGCTTTCAAAAAGAATTGCAAGTAAGCCGTCTACCGTACCACAATAGGAGTTATCCACGTGCTCGTCAAGTCCCTGTGCAATAAAACCTTTCAATCCGAAACCTGGAGCATCTAAAGCTCCAAGGCCCTGACATAAGCTTGTCTCGAACGTCCCATGATGCTTTAATATCGATTGCTGAAAAATTGCTAAGTAATACTAGTCCCTAGGGTTCCTGATTCTAAATATACTCTAAACATACTAGACTGTACCCCAAACCACAATATTCTAAGTATGAAGGCCAGCAATTGGCATTGCGTGGAGGTTCCGCCGTCTAAACGCGAAGATGATCTTCGCTCCGGGCAGCCTTCGGTGCGCCGGAGGAGAAAAGAATCCGGCGTCAAAGAAATGAGCATAGCAACTTGCACATGCTAAGCTTAGGGCTTGGGTTTGAAGTTTGCCCCAACATGCTTATTTAGTTTTCAGCCGCTGGCTGAAGGTGGAGTTCTGACAAATCCTGTGTCCATGCAGCACACAGGGTTGTGACTCGGCCGATGTGGGATGCTCAAACCAAAGTAACCCGAGCCTTCAAACCTTCAACTGAGGCTCGAGTCTCAAAGGCTTCAGCTCCAGACGACCTCTACCGGAGACCCCGAACAAACGCAAGAACCTAAATTTCTTCGCTACGAACATATATAGGTGAGTCCTAAACCCAATTTAAAGACCAGAAATTTGGCTGAAGCTTTCGCGAGCTGCGATGATTTCAGCGGCCAGAGTGTCAACCCACCGCGACGAGAACTTCGAGTACCCTGGCTTCAATGGTTTCAATTTAAAAGGCTTGGACTAACAGAGGCGGGCCTGTACCGTAAACCCTAATTATAGGCTAAATCCCATGGGTTTGTAGATAGGGGGGACAGACGGACAGAGCGGCAGACACGCGTGAAGCCCGCACGCAGCTTGACCCCAGTTCTAGCTACGAATGCGTCGCAGAAACTTGGTTTCTCATATTATGCAGGTGTTATTTAAGGAAGCCCAAGGAAGAATTATAGTTAAGGAAGCCTAAGGAATATTTATAATTAAGGAAGCCTAAGGAAGATGGTTACAGTTATTAAGGCCCCTGCATCAGTGAACTGGATGGCATGGCTACTAGTAGGGGTTATACCGGCATGAGCATCTGCGTGTCAAGGTGGTGCCTCGATTCCTGACCAATTCTTCAAAACCTCACTATCGTCACTATATTGCCCGTATACCAATTATATACGTGATCACCCCAGAAAAGCTGGGCCCAGCGTCGGCCGAAACTTCGGTGGCCATCCATCATGGCTGCGAAGCATGTGCGGCTGGTTTCCGGTGAGGTGGTGATGACGCTTTCTGCAGAGGAGTTGCTTGGTTGCTGAATCTTCAGCACTCAGAGCTTTCAGTTTGGCCCTTCCTTCGAGCTCCGGTGTTGTAGCTAAGAAACCCAGAAGGTCTTTGCTCAGACTGAATTGCGGACCCCCCAAAACCATGATGGGCAGGGTCTTTTGGGACGTAAATCCATAATCCCAGCGGTCCTAGCGTTTGTGAACCCTCTTGGAAAGTGCGTGACATCTGTTTCGGCGTCAGTGCGCGGGGGTTCAGGGTTTGGGGTGTAGGTTACTCGTTTCCGGGGTCGCTGGATCGTGAGCTCTTCTGCATGTATGGATGAGGCCGGTTCAGCAGTTCTGAACCCTAAATCCTAAACCCTATAGGTTTAGGGTTTAGGGTATAACCCTTAAACCCCAAACCCCGGCGAAAGTGGGAGGCTCGTTTCAAGGGTCTTGGTGCCATCATGCTTTGTTTACCTGCTCTAGCGGAGGAGTTGCTGAGACCCACACCTGGAAACCCTAAACCCAACATAGAACCTGGAAACCAAAAACCCTCAACCCAATATAGAGCCCTCATCGAAACTGCAAGCCTTGTAGGAAACCTTTGGGTGCCTTGCTGGATCTGAGTCATCGCCGCCTCCTAGTCGAGCGTCGGTTGCCTGTGTAATAGAGGGGCCGTATGAATTGCAAGAGGGTTTTGGGGTATATCTTAGTATCACGTACCCCAAAGCCCTCTTCTAACACCATTTTGGGGTCACGATAATCTTGATCCCGAAGTAGTATTATTGATTGTTTAGGCCCCTCCCCATGCTAGAAGTCTTCAGAGGCATAGTGCGTCAGGTTTTGCAGACATGGTAGGGGTATCACCAGATCTAGATGCTGTGTTCTGCATGTTTAGGGTTGTTTAGGGTTTAGGGTATAGGGTGTAAACCGGTTAGGGCTTATACCTTCTATGGCATTTAAAGGGGGCCCACCAAAAAAAGTTCTGGTAGGTCAAGGTACGGTTTGGGGGATAGGGGGGGGGAATATGAAAACAAAACCGAGGTTGCAAGCCTTGGCTTCGCTCGATCAGCCAGTGCACGTTCTGAAACAGCGACTGCGAAGCCGCTGTGGTCAGACACGCTACCGGCAGAGGCAGGGGCTTTTCCAAGCCTTTGCATATTTGGCGCGTAGTAATTAAAACCAAGTATACCGTTCGAACCTGAAAGACTTTCAAAAGGTGCTTAGTAAAATCGTAGCTAATGATGCCGTTCGAACCCAAGAGATGCGCTGAAGTCGCGGTTCTCACAGGCTCCTGTCCCAAGATGGCCAGATCCTCGGCGACAGAGCCCAGCTACCTGCAGCCGGTGATTCTGGGCTCTTGTTAAGGGATTAAAGTTAAGTTACCATAATGAGGAAGCCATATTATTTACTGTAGATCCCTATTATGGTAGCTTAAATTAAATCCCTTAACAAGAACCCCAGGATTTGCAGCTGCTCATCCTTCCATGGGCGCGAGCTACGGAGACCAAAGCCGATGAGCTTATTGCTGCAGCGGCCAATGATGCTACTGATGAGGCGTGGCCATGGGAAAGTCCAGTACCTCATATATATATATTTATTTATTTATTTATTTATTATATATAAAGCAAGTGGTACCTTAGTTATGCAGGTCTCGATGCCTAATTACACATTGACATGCATTTAACTGTGTATGCACGTACATATGCCTTTAGGTGCACGCGTCCGTCGTATTCAACATGGATCTGGGACTGTACATATGGAGTCCCTTGTGCCTGCACATGGGGAGGCTACAGTTTACATGTCCTCAGTTAAAGCTATAGTTCAACATGGGAAGTGATGGTACAGACTTGGCACGTTTGAAATCCCTACAGCCCTCTTCGAAACACGGGCCGTAGCCTGAAATGCCACAGCCGCCCCTCCGACCCCGACTCTTGTAACCTCTGTCAATGTGGTAGCCCATCGCGCAGTTCCAAATTGGAGTCTGGACACAGGATACAGGCTGGTGTTGCAAGGCTCCCAAAACTCCAAACTACTAGGGATTGGCACTCGTCGATTCCATAGTCAAAATTTTGGGTTGAGCAGATGTTAACCCTAAACCCTGAACCTTAAACAATGGCCAGTCCCCGCATTTCCATGGGCAATAGGCAGGCCCGTCAAACTCCACTCGGGGTTTTGGTACTCTAGGGGGCCTTAATCCAAAGGGAAGTCCGAGGTCACTCGGCCCATGCATGCCAAAAAGAACCAAAGGTCCACAACAAAAACCAACAAGGACCGCATACCCAAAGGCTCCTACAAGTCTGTACTGTTAGGGGGGATACTTCTCTAAATCGTAGCAGTAATGTAGACACCCTACATACTACTACATACGGACTTGAGAGACCCTTAGAGGATTCCGAAAACCTTAGACCCTTAAAGGAACCCCATATGGGTACATGGGACGCCCTTGGGGCAGCAGCCAGGTTGAGGCACTCCTCCAGATGCCCCAAGATCCGGACGCGCCGGATGGCGATGGCGACACCGCCTTGCAGCCGGGCTGCTAGCAAGCAGGTTTGAGTTTTAGGGTGTAGGGTTTGGGGTTTAGTGTTCTGACTCAAGATTCAAACTCCGTTCGAAAGAGATCAGGGCCTGGAAGGATTCCCTCTTGCACCCCTTAAACCCTATAAACCCTGTATTGGCCGGCTAGGCTTGGGGCTTCGGAATCCAGGACGACTCTCCCAGCAACCTCCGAAGAGCGTCTCTAAACCAGACATCAGAAGCACCATGCCAGAGAGACGCTAAGCCTTAAACCCCAGACCCTAACCCTAAAACCCCTAGAACCCTAAACCCTAAACCCTAAACCCTATAAACCCTAAAACCTAAACCCTAAACCCTAAAACCTCTCAGCCTTAAGCTGGAGGAACCTGGCCGCAGCCTTTGGTTGCAACGAGAGCTTGGAGCTGCTCCTTGAGGCCCGTGCAGATGCGACTTTCAGCTGCTTCCATTTTAGGCCAGGGGGGGCCGTAAACCGCAAAACTCTGAACCCCTAAACTTAAGCTGGATGAAACCAACACTTCGCAGTGGTGTAGAGTTTTAGGAAGCTGTGAGGTTTGGGCACAGGGTGGGCAGTTTCGGGCACTGCAGTTTAGGCCTTCATGCTCTGTTAGCCTGCATTGGGCGACAGAGTAGCCAACCTACTGCCAGAGATGGTGCTGACACGTGTTTTTTCTATTGGTTTTGCATGTTACGCACGTGCTGACTTCACCCACTGCCTCCGTTCCCACTGCTGCATGAGTTTTCGGGATTTCGACGGCTTCCAGTTCCGTTCTGGCCAGGTGGTGTCATCCTCGGGCTTCACCCATGTCATATTCATTTGCAAAATTTAGGGTTTAGGGTTTAGGGGTTTGGGGTTTAGGGTTTAGGGTCTAGGGTTTTGGTTTTGGGTTTTGGTTTAGGACCCTAAACCCCAAACCCCGAAACCCCTACGAGCATCCAAGGAGCCAAACCAATGGCCATGGCCTGACACCCCTTGTCGCTGCAGCGGCGAATGGACGTTTGGGCACAACACGGTTGCTTTTGGAGGCCGGTGCCTCACCAAACCCGGAGGACAAGGACTGCTACTATAGGGGCATTGATAATTACCTATGTTATTTTGGGGGATCCTTATTATCATCATAGTAGAACATACCCCAGAACCCTATTCTAACTATTAAGGCCCCTATATTACTCGTTAAGCCTCGGGAGTGACAAAACTCTAAACCGCAAACCCCTTTACTTTGTGAGGGCTCGAGGTCTCAGGATTGTATGCTCTATTGAGCCCTTTACTTTTCTTCATGGCTCGAGGCTTGTGGATTCAATGCTTTCGGGCTCCAGGACTGGGAAACTCCCCTCTTTGCAGCTGCACGCTCGGGGCACTGGGAGGTGGCAGAGCTCCTGCTCTGTTCCAAGGCAGATTACGAGCATACCACGAAGTCCGGCATGACGGCCCTGGGACTGGCAGCACTGGGTGGCCACAGCGATGTGGCTCGTTTGTTACTTGAGGCCCGGGTGGAGATTGACCCGGTCGACGCTGCGGGCGAGACTCCTCTATTCTATGCTTCGCGCGACGGGCAAGGTGATGTCGCATGCTTGTTGCTGAAGGCCGGCGCAGACGCAGATAGAGAGACGCCGGGAGGCCAATTTCCCCTCCTAGCCGCTTGTGAAGGTGGCCACCTGGATGTAGTCCACCTCCTACTGGAAGCGAAATCGATGCTTGACAGGACTGGGCCGGACCTTAAAACACCTCTCATGGTCGCTTCCCGGTGCGGCTACACAGAGGTGGTATCGCTGCTTCTGGAGCAGAGGGCGAGCACAAGTGCTACCGACATCTTCGGAGAGTCTGCATACCTGGCAGCATGTCGGTCTCAGAAGCCTGAAGTCGTTCAGCTTTTCACTCGGACTGGCATTCGTGACGACCCTTAAATGAGGAGCGAACCCTTGCTGCAGCTGGCATTAGTTATTTTTGCGATATATAGATGCGATCGCACATGTCCTTTTTGCTCTCCGTGCATGCCACTTGGAGTTCATGGGCATTGCAGAACACAGGGCACTTCCAATGTCGACCCTCAATCGCACAAGGATCTCCCCAAATGGACTTCTAACCTTAAAAACACGCCCGAAATCTATACCGATCAGCTACCTCTAAAGACCAAAGAACACCCCCTTCCGCAGCCCTTGAGCCTAAGCCTTCGGCCACCATGCAATCTGTGTTTCACCCCTTCTGCTCTCTCCGAAGCCGTCAGAAGCTACCGAGGATCCACCAACGAACCCAACCTTTGTACTCTGTTGTTGCAGTTCTCAGGTCGTTCGGTGCATGCAAAGCAGTTACTCCTTGGCAAACCTTACATGCCGTCAGATCGCTTCAGCTCCACGACCCGGCGAAATCGTCAAAACTCATGACCCTACAGCTTCCTAACCGCCAGACACGCCCTAAACCCTCAACCCTGAACCCTAAGCCCGAAACCGTAAACCCTAAATCCTAACCCCTAAACCTAAACCCCTAAGCCCTAAACCCTAACATCCTAAACCCCTAGACCCCTAACCCCTAAGCCTAAACCCTCACTCGAAACAGAGCTTCAAACCCGGGCCGAGGGGATGCCAAACATGCTGGATCACTCTGCTGCCAGCGAGGGCTGAAAACAAGGATCAGGGTTTTAGGGTTTATAAGGTTTTTGGGGTTTACAGGGTTTATAGGGCTTTAGGGTTTATAGGGCTTCAGGGTTTTAGGGTGTTAGGGTTTTAGGGTTTAGGGTTTAGGCTTTTGGACCTTTCAGTTTGGGTGTTACTGGGGCTGTGGGTTTGGGGCTTTGCTCTCGAGGCTGTGCCTTTACCAGGTGTTTTTTTGCAATCTATTGTGGCAAGTTCTCACGGGACGGGGGCTGGGATATCAAGGCAGTGCAAGCTGGACTCATGTAGATGTTCTTGGAAAGACACGCATCATCCAAATCCTTACGTCCTAAACCCTAAATCCTGCACCCGAAGCCCTATGAAACCCTAAACGCGAGCGTTCTTCCTGCTTTGGCTCCCATTGGTTCGGCGTGACAGCGCGGTAGGGAACAGGGTTGGATCGATCGGGTGGTCAGCAGCAGCTGTGAGAATTTCGATATCAGGCCTGCAAGTCTAGGTCCTTGTTGGCTACAATGTTACATTTTTGTTATCACAAAATCCAACAAGGATTAAAACTGATCATTTTTAGTATAACCCCAACAAGGAACCAGAAGCGGTTAAGGGATAATTGTCTGGGATCCGTTCTGATGCACACCTAAGCTTTCGAGAACCTCTAGGCATTTGCTCTGAACTGACAGACTGTGCGTGCTAGCAGTCCTGAAGAGCTGTCCTGTATGGGTAATGTACTGCCTCCCATAGTACGATTATGGATTGCCTGGACCCTAAAGAACAAGCCCTTTGTTGGGCTCCTTATGGTGTTTTCCTTACGCAAGTCCTTCAAAAGGTAGGTTTCTCAGGGTCCAGGGTGTAGCTCAAACTATGCTACTGGGCTTGCTATTAAGTTTCAGGTGTTGTTCCTTAGTCAAGGGCTGTTGGCCCTTTGCGCATAAGCTTTGTTTAGCAGGTGTGGATGTCGGGCTTACAGATGTTACGGGGCCGGCTTCGTTGTTGGATCTGTCGAAGTCATCTTGCAGCTTAGGAATGTTAGAGGTGCTGCATTATCTTTAGACGCAATAACACTTATTTACTGACATGCTTACGTCTCTATGTATACCAATATATACATAAACACGCTGATCCCGCTGGGTCGTCCGCTGAGTATGCATGGGAATAACCCAGAAAATAGCAGAAGGACTGAGGGTCCCAGAATGGACAGAAGCATACCAGGACCCGCCTTCAACCCTAGGCCCTCAACCAAAAAAGAGCCTAGATCCTAAACCCTAGCTGGACCTAAAGATTTACATGAGGGTTCTAAAGTCCCTCCTAAGAAAGAGCCCACAAAAATAAAAGAAAAAACAGGTCATGGTAGTTCAAGGTAAGGTTGTCTTAAAACCGATAGAAACCCTACACCCTAAAACCCTGAGAGTCCTTAAGGTATGCATTGTTCAATCGTAGGTTATGGTAGTTTAAGGTAAGGTATACATTTCCGAAGTCACAACCCTAAACCCTACACCATGAAATCCCAAGAAGCCTTAAGGTATAGAAATCATAATAAGCAGCCCTGAAAAGGTAGGCTATGTAGGGTTAATGTATACCCCAAATCATAAAACCCTAAACCCTATACACCCTAAACCCTAAGAACCCTTTAGGTGTAAATTTCTAAATACTAGGTTATGGTACCCTAAACCCGAAACCCAAAACTCTGAACCGGTTTAAGGTAAAGTATACATGTCTTAAAGCCTAAACCCGAAACAAGTCCCTTCTCTTCAGAGCCGAGGCTACGTCCCAGCTGGGTCAGTGTGGCCAAAGCGCTTGTGAACGAGACTTTGGGGCTTTAGGACGTTTGCAGGGTTTCGGGTCTAGGGCTTTAGGGCTTTTGTAGCGTTTAGGGTTTAGGGGGCTTTGGGTACAGGGGAAGGCCTAAACACTACACTGTGATCATAGGTTCTGAAGTTTGTCGAGCACTGTTTAAATGTGGGAAAGGTCCAACAGTCCAAGGGCCTGGCACATGTGATTATTATCTAATGACAATGATATGCAGGTATAAAGTTATACGAGTTACAAGAGTGATGACCAAGCTTCGCGGTAGCATGTTGTATAGTACGACACTGCCAAGAAAGTGTGCGATGGCGCAGAAGCACCACAACGAGGTTTACCGGCACATGGTGGCCTTTGTAAGTAGGTTTGCACCAAGATGGGCCAATGCACTTTCGCCAGTCCCTTCGCTCGACGAAAAATGACGAACGGGGGTGGGGTTCTTAACATTTGTTGTACTGTTTTGGTGGGTCACTAACTAGAATCCTATGATTTTTGGCTTTTGCTATATTCACCATTTGCTGACACTTCCAAGCCCTTGCAGGCTTTGCCATAAAGGTTGAAAGCAACATCCTTATGGAACGACAGACTAAAAATCCATCCCCATAAAATCCTGACCCTCAGCCCCCTTTGGTTCTATGGCCTGTAGAGTCCGTGTAGCAGCGATTCTGCATGCTGTAGTCTGTCAACCAATATCGGTGCATCAGAATAACTTCAATATGGTTCTGGGGGTCGGTGGCTATTTGTTAGAGAATGTTCGGAACATATGATACTATCAGAACCAAAAGGGAAGCTGTAACCGTGTAGGCTTTCAGGGTTTTGGTTACTAGGTTCTCGGGTCTCGGCCGGCTTGTCCCACTTGAGGTCATAAAAGGTTCTTTTTAGGGCCGGGTTTCATAGTTCAGGGTTTAGGGTTTAGGGCTGGTTGTTTGATGAACTTTTCACAAATCACGGCTTCACGCTTAAAACTCGTTCTCATAGTTGGCGCATCCTGGAACCACTCGTTCACCGACGCTGAGGTGTGAAAGCAGATCCCAATATTTGTTGGGGGTCTTCGATCCACCCTCTTTGGTCCTGTGTCGAGGGTCCTCCTTTCCGAAGCTACCATGTGGGGCATTGGGTGCACGGCCTAGGTCTAACGGTTGATGATATAAATCCTGCATTACCCATAATAAGGAACATAATTACCATAATTCCCATAGTAAACGGGTCCTTAAGGTAATGCAGGATTTCTATCATCAGCCGAGTTACCAATTCCCAATGCACAGCTTCGAAAACCCTGAGACTGAAGCCCAGGGCCACTCGAAGTCCTCAGAGCCTCCTCCCCATCCACATCCACAAAGTTTAGGGCTTAGGGTTTAGGGGTTTAGGGGTTTAGGGTTTAGGGCAAAATTTCCCGAAGAACCCGCTTTCAGAAGGCTGAGTTGCGAATACCGCACCGCAGAAGTGGTCAATCGTGGTACTGGTGCTGGGGCCCCGAGTTTGGGGTTTAGGGTTTCGTTGGGATGATCTGTTTTGTTGGGTTCGGTGTGAGGCAATTGTACACCATGTCTTTAAAGCGAGTTCAAAGGGCAGTAGCCTGTGCATCTACCTGCAATCTGGACCTGCGCCAAGGCAGGTTTCAAGCAGCCTTTCTCTCGCAAGCATAAACTGAATACACCCTGATATGGGAGCCTCAATAATTGCCAATACTATTTGCTTTGGGGGTTGGTTCCTCGTTGTCATTATAACCGCATGATACACCCACAGGCCTATTCTGATCATTGGGGCCCCTATCTCTTACGCCCGAGCCCTGGGTCGAGTTTGGGAGTTGCCTGCCCATTGAGAGTACTTAGTTAGGTTTAGGGTTTAGGGTTTAGTGTTGTTCGCGACATAGCAAGCCGTCCCTGACCAAGCTCTATTCCACTGTCTGCGGAAAGCGCGTTGAAACGAAAGACTGGTCTTCCAAGCAAAACCGCAACGGGAGCATCGCCAAGAACAGCAATAGTGAGCAAGAGGTGTTGACAACAATATAATATTCAGCACAGTTTCCAAAGAACGAGGTTGTGATGCCACGGGCCAGAAGCTCAGAAGCCGGAGTCGCGCAAGGGCCCTGCGGAATGCGCACTCTCCAGCGCCAGGTTGCAGGAAGAAGAGTGCTAGCAAAATTTCCTGCTTTTGAGTGCTTCATTTGGCTTTGAACATGGACGATCCCCGCCCACCATACCTTAGCTCGAGTGAAGACTGCGCACAGTGAAGCACTGTAGATACTGTACAGACACTGTAGGCTCTGCAAAGATGCGTGCATGTGTATGTACATGCATAGAGACATACATAATCTACTCATACATGCATACATACATACCTACCTACATACATACATACATACATACATAAAATATATACACTGTAATATGCATGCATACGAAAGCGTGGCGTAGCATAGCCTCTGCCTCGATGAGCCTGTCAGCTAGTGCATGCGTGTGTGTGTGTGTGTGAGAGAGAGAGAGAGATAGAGAGAG